TTCTGGGAGTTGAAGTCCACTCATCTTAAAGTGGCCAAGTTTGGACAACACTGGTGTAGGAAGACTCATGGAATGAACTGCTTCTTCTTGGGTTAGGCTAAGAAACACCACCTGGCAGGAGGGGAAAGCCTGACAGGCCTGCCCCATGAAAAAGAAGCCAGCATCTCTAATCCTGGGAGAAATATCCAGGACAGTGTGTTCCTCCTGGCTCTGCAGTGTAGAAGGGAATGTAACTGCCTTTTCTGCAGTCTGAGTTTTCAGCAGTTTGTTACAAGTCACTGCTGGTTTGTTGAAGACTAGCTGTGATTGGCACAACAGAGTAGGAGTAATTTCATTGTAGGATAGGATTCAGGGATAGTTGTGTTGGGGGGCAAAATCCAACATCCATCGCTCGGCCAGGGCAGTGTTACAACCATCTAAAATGGCAGAAAAGAATATACAATCCAGAAGTCTTTATCCGGTAAGACGTTCTCTTAAGCAGAGGATGGGGAAGGAATAAGGAAGTCCAGAAACTAGGCCAAGGTGATTCAACACCAGGAAGTTTGCAGTTCAAAGTCATCTGTATATCCTATAACCAATACTCTGATGGGAGTACGAGCGGTTCTCTTTTTAACATTATACTTAATTCTGGATGAAAAGCCAAATCGTTTCATACTTATAATACTGGCATCCTGAACGTAATTCATATTGATAGAATTTTTACTTTTCTTTCCCTATTTTCAATATTTTAAGCTTTCTAAATAATAGAATGTTAATGATCTCCATTCATATTATATAAACATCACTGCATGGAAACAATACGATGTATCAAGATGTAGGAGAATATAATAAAACAAAGTCACCTGCATGTCAGAGACGGACAAACATCCCGTTTGCCTGTTTCTTGGGCCGGTCCTAGCAGTAAATCTAGCCCGCTCCCCCAGTGAATGCTTTTCTTACCTCCTTTCACAGCCTTTTCTTGAAGGCTGTGCAATATTTCTGTCACCTTGTCCTCTTTATGGGCCAAAGCAAAGGCATACGCCAGCAAGCTCTGGGTGTATATGTTGATCTCCTTCTTCTGGGATGCCGTCTCCAGGCAAAACAAAGCGTTTCGCACTACTGAATGCTGCAGGAAAAAAGAAGGAAGATGTTCATCTAGAGCCATCGTGGCCATTTGTATAGGTCTGGTGAGATTTGGACAGTAATGCTCTCCAAGATGTTGGACAGAGAACAAATATGCCACACAACCCATCTCACACAGCCAGGACAGAAGTGAAGATGGAAACAGTGGAGGGCACTGGAGTCCTCCTTTTGCCCCACAAGCTCTTTTCCTTCTATGTGGGTGAGCTTCAGGGGAATCAAGTCACCAAGACTCAAGCAGTGGTGGAAGACTCTTATCTAGGCTTCATATGGTCTGTCATCAGTATGGATTAGTCCTATCAAAACTGTAGGTGACTTCCACAACCTATAGGGCCCAAAACTGCTCACATCTATGGCTCCTGAAGTGAGCAATGTATTTGTGGACAAGTACTCTGGAATTTCAGGCAGACTTTTCTTTTTAGATAAATGGTTAATTGACTGAGTGATTGATTCTGTGCCATCAAGTCATTTTTGACTTAGGAGCAACCAGATAGACAGACAGACACTATAGTAGATAAATACTATAGTATAGTAGATATAGTAGGTGTAGTATAATATATATAGTATAGTAGATATAGTAAAGAAATACTATCGTAATCAGATAAATTACTATAAATGTTTTAGATAAAGATGGAAAAACAAATTGAACCTGAGATAATGCAGTAAAGATGGCAGTTGTAGAACTCATATATGGATGGATAAACTCAACTGAGAGCGTCGTGGCTTTTTTATTATGCCCAGGGGCAATCAGCTTCATGGGAAGCTTTCTGGAGTGATGGGGTGTTAAATGGAGTCTGTGGGAGGTGAAGATGGCTTCTTACCGTGACAGGCAAGGAGGATTCTAGCAAAGCGATGGCAATGTAGGCTGAGAGAGTGTCCTCATCATCAACTCCACCCTGTAAGAAAGAAAATGGGAGGCAGCCATAAGCCCCACAAAGTACAGGAAGCGCATTTCCCATCTCCCTGAGTAGTTTTCCCCAACTTCCAGATATGTGGACTTCAATTCCCAGAATTCTCACTGGTGTACATGTTGCCTGGGAATTCTGGGAACTGTAGTCTACATATTTGGAGGATGCCCAGGCTGGGGAAGGTGAGGTATTCAGTATTCCCCTCAGGAGCACATAATGCATTAAGTTGGGAGAGGTGCTGATTTCCATGCAAATGGTCCCCTAACTCACTTCTACATCACTTCCCCTCTGTATCATTCTCCATCTCTGCTCTAATAATCTTTGCCTACTTTCCTCCCGATAGATCTGACTACAATTGCCATCATCCTCAGATAACACCACCTTTTATCTTCCAACCTGATCATACCCCAACAGGTCAACAGGCCCCGTGAAGGTCCTCTTTGTCCCAAAAAGGTCAGAGAGTTGGTTGTCACTCTGCTGTCCAATGCCATTGCTGGTCCTGCTCTTCAGCAAAATGGTCCACCCCCCAAGCCCATAGGTCAGTGTTGTCC